GGCGCCGCAGTGCCCCCCCCCCAGCGCCGCGCCAGCCGGCCGCAGGCCCTCACCTCGCCCGCTGCCTATCCGCGGGTCTCAGACCCCCCCTCTTGTTGCAGACGCCAAACCAGCCCGCAGACTGGCCCAAAGCCCTTCCTGAGCTGTAGCCGGGGCACCAGCCGGTTACAATAAATGTAGTTAGAAGTCATTACTGTATGTACTCAAATAATTTGGGGCTGTTTCTAAGAGACCTAATTAAAATTAAAACTGCATTAGCAAGATAAAACATCCAGGTCAGACAAATTGCTGCGAAAACCGTTGTATTGAAAATTTTCAGCTCCTTTCAATAGTACATCAGCTTCTTCGCTCCAACATACGGATGCACAGCCATCCTACGCACCTGTAATTGGTCCTGGAGCAGGCCTTAGTGTATTATTCCCAGACAGCCACATCACCGATTTTAGCAGGAATAAAAATGAGAGCAAGGAATGGCTACGTGTTAAAAACCTCCCACCTCCAGGCCAGAGCTGTAGCTACCTAGCTAACGCAGGGGCTGGGTTTTTCCACTCCTAACGATTGGCAGCTTTCGTATTTCGCAATCTAGGTAAACATCCCGGGGAGGTAAGAAGTGTTAACGAGTTTAGGTGAACCTGGGCAGAGAATGGGAGTTACAGGCCAACTGCGAAACATGCACAGCGAAGGTGATCGGAACAAGAACTCTGCTCTGTGTGGAGTGGACCAGCAAACCAATGCTGCCTGATCAAAAGCAGTTTCCTCAGAACACAATTCCATAGGAATTCTGGCTGCGTAGATGGTGGAGGGAGACGCTGACGAAGCAAGTGCCCGCCCAGGGCAATCACTGCTGCGAGTTCTGTTGTAGCATATTTTGCAGGGTTTTGTGGTTTTGCAGAGCGGCTAACACGTCCTCGTAGAGAGCGTTGACGCTGACGCACAGGGGCTGACGTTGCAGCTCCGTCAGCTTGCAGGCAGCCAAAGCGCAGAGGACGCACAGCAGCGCCACGAGCAGGACCCTCAGCACCGACCGCGACCAGGAGTGCTTGTTCCGGGGGGGCTGAGGGGGCCGAGAACTGGAGGCGGGCTCTGCAACGAGAACATTTACGAGACGGAGAACACGAGGAATTAATCAAGTACCTTGAACAGCCTACGTTCAGGAACAAGCTGTTCAGGAAAGGTGCTTTGGCCTGTGCTGCAGTTGTCTTTTGTCGTGAATTTGCATCCGTTAACTCTGGTTAATACACAGATGCGCAGGATTTACCCGTTCGGGATAAAAAGTTTCAGGTTTACTTTCACAGGCAGCAGCGAACAGGGTGTAAAGCACCTCTGTCTTGCACAAGATCTGGTTTGGCACGTATAGTTCAGTATATTTAAAAAGAAATGAGTGAAGTTCTCCATAGGAGCAGCCGAAGAACTTTCTGAACCCGGTAGCTCAGCAGTTCAGCGGGAGCACAGATGGAGGGGAAAAGGGCACGGCGGCAGAGCTCCTTGGAAGTCCTATGGGATTCTCCCCCCGCTCCCCCCATCTCCCAGTACCTGGGCTGCTTAAAAGCCAATCTGGCAGCATCAAAATGAGATGAAATCTGATGCGATCCTTCCCACAGCGGATACTACTTACTTCGGGTCTGCACGTTTGCTTTTTTGGTTTTCTTTTCCATCTCCTGTTTTGCAGCTTTCTGAGCATCGTACTCCCGTCTTCTGCGTTCCTTTTCTTCTGCCTTCTCTCGCTTCCTCAGTTCCCGCTCTTGAGCCTCCTTTGCTCGCTGTTCTGCTTCACGCTTCTTCTCCATTTCTGGGGATTAACAGGAAGGTTTTTTTCCCTTTATGTAAAGGCTTGTCATTGCCTTCTTCCTTATTACCTGCTTATCTGTTCCCAATTGAAATGAGGAAACAATTCAAATAACTATCCTCTTTCCTTATCTTTTTTTTTTTTTAATATCACATACCTTGCATTTTGCTCCCTTGGAATTAGGCTTCCCTTAAAATAAATCCTGTGCTCTTTCCTATTTTTATAGGTAACCTACAGCACATTCCAGCTAGAGATCTAACTATTATTCAGGCAAGAAATTGCATCGTTATCCCTGGCTGTTTTTTCTCCCTCCAGCCCTTCCACACTACTACTCCCAGAGTCCTCAGGATTTTGAGAGTTACGAGTATTTGTCAGACGGCAATTCGTTAGGTGGCAATCGGCGCATTTGGGCGTGTAAGAGAGAGCAAGACGAGCCCTCAGCAGACAGCACGTGAGGGCTCTTTGCGCTTACCTCGCTCTGCTTGGAGCTTCCGTTGCCGCTGTCGATCCTGCTCGGACTGGATCGCCTTCATGTGCTGCAGTACCTTCAAGGGCCGAAAAAACAACCTGAGGTCTCCGCAGGAGGCAGAGTTCAAAACGGAACGGCCGGAGCGCAGCTGAGGACAGCCAGCTGGGGCTGAGCACCAGCCTGCCTCACCCCGCTCCGAAGAGAGCTCGCACCTTCCCATGTGAATCGTTGCCGTTAAGAAACAGCTTTCTGTTAAAAACCAAACGTGCTGCTAGCTGAGGCAGAGGATCACAGAACACGGCTATTTATGCGAGCCTATAGTTTGCCAGAGCTTCTCCAGAGATTTTTGTACTCTGGACTACAAGCCTAGACATGGATTTTCTCTGATTATGCCTCCGCTTTCTTGACAGACAGATTTAGTCCTCTCTTAACTCCAGGAATGGGAGAGAATCCTACCCAACCCAGCGTTTGCTCTCTACGGCACAGAAGCAGTGAAGCCAGGGCAGTGAACCTGCACCTCGCTGCCTGAAGAAACTTCAAACTGCTGCAGCAGCCGCCCAGCTTGCCAAGGAAAAAAGAGGAAGAACCACCACCGATAAAGCGAAGGAAGGAAAAAAAGAATAAAAGCAGATTCCTTACCTTGACAGCAGCCTGTTTACACTGCTTCTCATCCAGACAGTCTCCTGCTACTTTAGCTAGGACAGGATCAAGGGGATTGTCCTTCAGATCGAGCCACTTCAGGTTCTGCAGAAAGGAGAAAGGGGAGGCTGTAAGAGCACAGCAGTCCTGTGGTTATTTAAGAGATCCAAAGCAGAAGCAAAGAACTCCTGAGCTTTCACATGAATGAAACGGGTACGGAAGACAAGCAGAGAGCTTGAGCAGAGGCGTTTTCAGTAGATGCGAGAGAATTGCCACTGAGCTGCGGTGCAGAGCCAGCTGAATTTTGGAACGGGCAGTCAGCAGGATGGATGCTTTACCAGAGAAATCAACCTGAGAAGGATCACAAGACCCTGGGCTGCATCCCAAAGCTTTACGTCACCGCCCAGCGAACAGCGTTACCTTGAGCTGTGCAAAGCTGACTGGCAGGGTGACCAAGCGGTTGTTCAGGAGGTCCAGGTGCTGCAGGTTGACCAGGCGCCCAAAGTCCAAGGGCAGCTGTTGAAGCCGATTTTTACTCAAATCCAGTTTCACCAGATGCATCAAACTGCAGAAGTCTGACTAAAACCCAAACAAAACCCAGAAAAAAAACCTGTCAGCACTTTATGGAGGCGCCTCAGCAGGGGGGGATGTGGCGGGGGGCCGATGTGGCGGTAGCCTGCGCCTTCCGTAAGCCACAAATCCTTAACTTGCTACAGAACCGTGACGGAGGAAAATCACTCTCTTTTTGCCTCGGAAGAGAGAGGTGGAAAAACAGCGGGACGGACAAGATGGACAAACTGACGAGGTGATGTGTGGCAATACAATGGGAACAACCCCGAGTCCCTGCTGCTGCTGGAACGGGTCGGCGCCGACGCGGGGTCCCGCCGGCAGGGAGACGCCGCAATCCTCGCGCGCCGCAAACCTTCGCTCTCTCCCGCCCCGGCCAAACCCTCCCGCTGCTCCTGACCGTCGCCGGCGGCAGAGCCGCTCAGCCGCCCCGCGATGAGGAACGGGCCGGTTCCAAACCTCCCGGTGAACCTTTCCTGAAGCACTAATTATCTTTTTTTTTTTCTTTTTTTTTTTTTTCTTTTTTAAACATTTCCCAGCAGATTCATCCCCGCAGAGGCTCTCCAGCACCTTACCGGCAAGGAAATGAGGTTGTTACAGGACAAATCCAATACGGTAGCTTTGGGGAGAGCGGCCTGAAAGAGGAAAACCGCGCCAAAATG